GATACATTGATAAATGAAAAATAATATAGATTTATATCTATTAATCCCTTCTTTAACCTTTAAGAATTAGTATTATGTTGCATTTTTATAAGCTTTGAATGAAATATTCATATATATAACATATAACATATAACAAAAAAAAAATCATATATTTTGTGTCCCTCCATGTATCGTGTCTTGTATTTTTTAAAAATTGATGTATCAGCATGTCCATGTGCCCTTCATTGTTGGTAATCACAAACTCTCCTTCACTTCCCCTCCAAAATCTAATAATTTAGAGATAAACAAAAGTGGAGTCAAAAGGGTTTGACCATCCCTCAAAACCCCTCCCCTTCCTATTTTTATGAACACCCAAAAAGGGGAAGTCATACACTTTCCTTCACTTTCCCCAATCCCATCGTAGATAAGATAAGCTAGAGCAAACAATGGATGAAGGGAATTTGATATGTGCAAAACATACAAACCTTCAAAAGCAGAAGTATAGCAGAAGCATAGGCATCTTCAGTCATAGATGTAAATCCAAGACTTCTAAGATCACGCACAACCATTCCAATGTTCTTTACTAGTTTGCTGTTCGCCAATTTCCGATGATAAAATTCATCAACAGCCATGTCACCTGTTCTGTAGGGGAGTTTATTTTTTTCATCTAGGTCCATGTCATCATTACCTTGTGATTCACTATCATCTTCACAATCTTCAGCCATAATTGTACTCAACTCCTCCAGCCTTCCCTTAAAATACCAGTGGAGTATCTCTAAAATCATTATAAGACACATAGAAACATTATTAACAAGTCCCAGATACATCTTGGCTTGCATATGTATCATGTGCATAACGCTTTCAAGAAAGACCTTCAATAAGGAAAACCAAATTCAAAGAATGGAGTAAAACATTTAACCCCAATGTCAAAAAACTACAGCAGCCAATGAGACATGGTAACATGCTGATTGCTAACGAATTTTGGAATTATAAAATAACATATAACGCAACTATGATAAACGAATGATTGGCATGGAAGGAATTTGAATGGAACACAAACAAAGTTCGCCCATAATTTTTATTTTAATTTTTTTAAGTTCCTCCGAACTTTTACACTAGGCAAAGGATAAAAGTAATAAACCAATGACAGGAAACTAAAAAAGTTAGTCGTTCAAATAATGCACATTCAGATTCTGGGAGCAGGTATGTCTGCGACAGAACATAGCATTCGTGTTTGTATTCATGGACCATAGACTGAACCAATTGCACTTATTTTTCCACTTACCAGATATTTATCTACTACAAAGATCACAAATACTATCATTTCATATAAGCATTATAGTTTGTAAACATCATTTTCCCTTAAAAAGAAAAAAACAATTATTTAACAAATATGGCCTATAACCATCCTAGTGTCCATGACTTGACTTTTAGATGAATGCAAAGCACTTAAACACATACGTGACATACCCGCACCCGACACCCATACTCGATTCTATGTAACATAGCAAAGGGTATCAAGGATATTCACATATTCCATATCACATTAAACATTGTGGGTCCCACAACTGTAAGATAAACAAAGATGTGAAGGGATCCAATTTGCTAGCTTGGTGGTGTCATATAAATGAAATAATTCTCTGGCACAAATTCTCTCTCATTTCTCTCATGTATTTCTCTCTGATTAACGTTGTGGGTCCCACAACTGTTAAATAAACAAATATGTGGAGGAATCTGTTCATTAATTTGGGCGGCGGGTGGAATTTAAATAAATTAAATAGAAAGCACAAAGGGCAAATATCCATAAACATTGTAGGTCCCACAATGGTTAAATAAACAAAGATGAGATACATCAAGTCCGCCTTTTATATATAGAAGTAGATATAATATGTATATGTTTATATATATATATATAGAGCGAGAGAGAGAGAGAGTGAGAGAGAATCAAAAAGATAGTAGAACTTCAAATTTGCACGAGTGCATGTGCGCGAATGTCTTCTGACAAGTTAATTGACATTTAAAATGGCCTTGATACACATAGACAGAAACATCAATATCTACAACATAGACATATCTTTTTTATCAAGAACCCTAAGAAGTACATCTACTAGAAAGAGTTAATTTCAGGTATTCAACCTTAGACTTCCCCATTGAAGGATTTAGAAACAAGCTTGGCTTGTATATAGCTAAATTCTTGTGAATAGGAAGTGAAAACATAGTGAATTGAAAACATAGTTACAATTTCATCACCGTTCTCTTTTCATTAACACTTTGAGAGAATAACTGAAGATTACAAGAGAGTCAGTCATAAAATATCTAATGTTCAATAATGTTTATTTACAAGTTCATAACGAACATATCTAGAAACTCATACCAGGAAAATGCCGAGGAAGAGTAGCCATGAGAACTGAAGACACTATTAATTGATATCTAGACAACAGATAGAGTCTTTCAGCATCTGGGCTTTGTCTTTTATCTAGCGCAATATCTTTGTTCGGCTGTAAGGCACGAATTAGCATTAATAGGCACTTCTCTTGATACTGTTTTTCAAATGATATCTCTTCCAGAGCTTTACATAACTCTTGCTGAACCCTATCCTTAAGAATCTGTTTCAACATTAAGGGGGATCGTAATATCATTAAAAGAAGTAACGAACTGCAATCTGATTGGCACAGAAGTGTTAAAGAAACAAAAAGTTTCCAAGAACAACAGAAATAAGAGGCATCTTATAAATGTGATGCAAGTCTGGAACCAAAAATGAAGAAATAGGTTTACCTTCACTAGGCGATTTTGATGTCCTAAAGCCATGTTTGGATCATGGATCTGGGTAAGGATCTGGAAAGGGAAACAAAAGGTGAGAGAAATGTGAATGAAATCTAAGCTAATTCTTTCTCCATTTCCCTCACATTTTCCTTTCCTTTTTCAAATCCCTACCCAAATCCATGATCCAAACACAGCTTAAAAGCATTCAGCAACAGTAAAGAAAATTAAGCTGGACTCTTTTCATAAGCAATTATATTTCACCAAAGGGCACCAAACAATGAGCACAACCCAAGTACAGGCAAACCATACAGCTATAAAATGCCTCTATATCTACAGGAACATAAGATCCCCCAAAAAAACATCACAAAAAAATCCAGAGGAAAAGAAAATGCATCCAATAGACAAAAAAAAAACAGAGTAAAACAATGTAGTCAGCATTACTGCCTTCGTTTTCTACTATTTAGGCCTCGTTTGGGGAGTGGCTATTTTAGTCAAAAAATTAAAAAGTTACTAAAAGTTGTCACATCATCTCTCTACTTTTCTGCACATCTTTTCGGTCACATCATCTCTCTACTTTTCTGCACATCTTTTCGTAAAAAGCCAAAAAGTTACTAAAATAACCTGTTCCCAAACGAGGCCTTAGTATGCTCAAAAATTCCAATTCTTTCCCATGCCTTCCTCCTCTCCAATCGGGACATCCCTCCCCACGAACCAAAAACAACTCACAAGCAAGCAACACATTGCATCACCCATGAAACCCCAAAAATAAGAAAAGTCCAAGCTCCATAATTCCCTAGGTCTTAACCCTTATACTTGCAACACCATACCATAATAACTTTAACCATTGGTCTCAAATTATCAACCATCAAAAAACTTCTCAGGCCGCTGACAAAGCAAAGAGGTCACCTGAAGCCTGGCCTCAATATGCTTCAAAAGGAAAGACAAATTCCCCTAACCACCCGAACATTTATAGAAAGATATCACTGTACACACTCCATTCCTACTTGCCATGACAAGATAGCCTCTCCCCTCCCAAATAGATAACTTGTAGCCCAAAAAGGTCTCCCCAAACTTCAAGTCCTGCAACAATCTCCCTCCAAACAGGGGAGCCCACACTACTTCACCGTGCAGCAATATATATGTTGAAGTAGACAACCATACTGACTTTTAACAAACAGTAAGGTTATCATCCTGCTCAATAGTAAACAACCAGAACTATTTGACTAACCCTATTGAAGGACCCTTTGAAAGTTTTTTCAGGATTCATATATGATCGAAAAATGAAGAAAATCAAGGCCATTAATTAACTACAAGTATTAATTTTCATAATATATCAAAAATGTAAAATAAAAGAAAAAGAAAAAACTCTCGGCCCCCAGCATAAATGGATATTTTGGCTTAAAGACCAGTACAGCAAAACAGAAGAAGAGGGATAATTAAAGTCCAGAGACTGCAAAGTCACCTGCCATTAAATTGTGAAATAAAACAAAGCATATTTGAGAAATGAATATATAAAACAGCAAAACAGTATTAATGAAAATTATTGGCAATAATAATAGAACCATGTTGACAAATGTGCCCGACAATGGAATCTCCCTCACTTGAAAAGAAATTGAGAATAAATTACACTTAAGTATGTCCAATAGAAAAGCGTCTTCTCTCTCTCTCTCTCCCCTCTTTTTTCCTCAAATGATAAATAAAGATCAAGTTTAGATGGATTTTTCCATTTGCAACAAGAATTTCATAAAGAGTAAAGTAGACTACTATAGTTGAAGAGTTAAGCATGAACTAAACATTTTAAAGCAGATTAGTTATAAAGTAATCATGAAGGAAGTAAATCACAAACAAACCAAGTAATGAGACACATTTTTCCAAAGAAGTTAGCCTCTCACCTTCTTGCCCTCAAAGCAATGAGAAATTGGGGTACTGTAATATATATATGTATATATATATATATATGTATGTATATATTTTGTTAGGTAGCATTACATTCATGGATTTGGATCTGAGCCCACAAATCACAGACCCATTGTTTGGCAACTGTTTATGCAGCCAAAATCAATTTACGCTAAACCCCAATTCTGCATTTTAAAGATAACTACATGCCATCTGTCATTTAAAAACCCAAAGACAAGTGGGCAAACAGTCTCCTTCCACGGTAACCAATCACTAAAATGATTTCCTTAAAATCCACATAAAATGAATGTGCAGTAGCATGTGCCCACTGCCCACTTGTGTGTGCCCATATGTAATAGCAATGCATTGAAGCTAAAACAACAAGAGAAAAGTCCAACCTTTTGTCATTGAAATATAGTCCGAATTAGTAGATATTTGAATCAGTTCACGCTTGTCCAGAAGAAGTCACCAAACAATTATAACAGAGCAATACATAAGCATTCAAGAAATCTGTAATATCATATGAATGAAGCAAAAGAAAGATATCAAAACTCTTAATACATAGCTCATTTGTACTTTCAATGTGCAGAATTACAGTTTTTAGGCCCTATTTGAGTAGCAGGATTAATAGTGAAAGGATTAATAATCCCAAGAATTAGTATAGGATTATTTATCCAATTAAATTTAATAAGATAACCATTTATTATATATTCATTTTGTATTTTTTCTTTTATACCTGAAATTATGATCCCCGCCCATTTCAATATTGAAACTCCCCAATTTCATTGTATTGAATGTCCACCATACATCTAATCCGGTTAATAAAATTTACAATCAAACATGGGATTGTGAGTCCATGGACTAACAATTCCAATCATATGCTATATAATCCTACTAATGAAACATGCCCTTACGGTACAAATGCTAATCTTTGGTCTAGCTGAGGAACTTTCAGTGAAAAAAAGTAAATTCATAGATTACTTGAAGGGAACTTTGGAGGTTAGTCACCTCTATTAACAATCCGAATCATAAAATATAGAGAAAATCAAATATTGTATTTATGAACAACAGAACATTTGATCAATGAGTTAGTGAATAAAGAGGCAACATATGAAATCCAGAAGCATATTAAGAACTTTATCCATAATGCCATTTTTTTTTTCCCCCTAAATGACCAAAGTTAATTAAATATAGCGCATTGAAGCGTCACGTGTACATACAGGGTCCATGCTCATTTCTAGAGCAGCAACATCACTGTAAGCATCAAAATGCTGCCAAAACTTTGATGCTCCATTCTTCTCAAAATTTTCCTGAACCAAAACAAATAGCACTAGACTATAAAAATACAAGTATTGCTCTATTGCAAGCCTTAAATAAGTAGAAAAACAAACGAAGATGGATATTAAATAACGTTCAATTAGTACACATTAATATGTATTTGGGAACACATTACATTTGGCATAGTGCACAAAGTGGTTAGCCATAGTGCACAAAGTGGTTAGCCCGAGACTTGAGGTTATGTTAGGCCAAGGTTGAAGATGGATATTATATGTAATAATTTATTTAAAAAAAGAGATGAGCAGTAGAAATATTGAACAAATGAATGGTAAGTAAGAAGAATACCTCTAGGGAGCAAAAGAAGTGTTGTTGCACTAAAGAGTCGAGGCCGTGGTTGGAGAGAGTGTGAGCATGAGAAGCCAAGTTGGAACCAAACGAAAGATGAGCAGCATTGCCATTCAGCAGAGCTTCAGTGGCCAAACAGAAGCCTTTCCAGCTCTCCATAATTTCATTGATATCATCAGCGGTTAGGGACTCCAAAACCCCCAAATTGCAAACCGATGAAGTCGCGTCAATCGTCATTGGAACAAGATGGTACAAAAAATTCAAACCCTAACTTTGCAATTCCAAGTGGGTGAGTGCGTTGAGATGCGATGCCTTTACTGGGGAAAACGACGGTTTAAGACAGGGGGCTCCGCCGGCGGCGAGGATACGAGGGTTTTAGTAATTTAGTGCCTAAAAACGACAACGTTTTAGGTTGATGGTGGGTTGAAGTTTGAAGGGAAAATTACAGTCCAGTTCGTATTTGTAAAAATAATTACAAAGAGACAAATTTTATAATATTAATAATATTAATAATTAAAATCATTAAAAGAAAGGACGAAGTACTAGTCACTTTGTTTGATTAGAGTTTTTCAAAAATACTTTTTAAAAAATTTTACTTTCTTATTTTTTGTATTTTCTTTTGTTTTTACTGAATTTTTTTTAATATTTTATGCAATTTTTTTAATTTTCAGACATACCTAACATAAATATACCTAAAAAGTAAAATATAATGAAAAAAACCTTATAAAAATTCACTAAATATCAAAAATACAAAAAGAATAAGAGAATTCAGTACATTTTTTTATATTTTTATGTATTTATTAATTTTTTAAAATATTTTTTCATAATTTTTTACTTTTTTAGATACATCTAAGTAAGATGCATCTAAAAAAGTAAAAAATGTTTAAAATTTTAAAAATATTCACTAAAAACAAAAAAATATGAAAATCTTAGTTTTCAAAAAACTTAATCCAAAAAACTCAAACTGAACACACTGATAAATCCCAAAATATGATGTTGTGAATTATTTAGTTTTTTTTTTTTTCCTTATGAATCGAAAGGTCCTATTAAAATGAAAATTACATAAAAGAGTAATCACTTACATATTTTGGTTTAATTTTTCAAAATAAAATTGGATTTCTCAAAATGTAAAATTACATATTTTGGGCAATTTGTAATATAGAATTTTGGATTTTTTCTCATTTTAAAACAAATCTCACATTACGAACAAAAACCTAACACTCTCTAATGTAACACGCTAATAACATAACACTTCAATTTAACACATTAAAAAACTCATTAGTGTACTTTTTCTAAACGTGACAACGTAATACTAAAAAAAAAAAATTTTGGTTTACTTTTCTCAAACGTAACGCTCTAATGTAACACAAAAAAAAAAATTCTTTACATGTTTCTCAAATGTAACACTCCAATTAATGTAATCTCAAACGTAACACTCCAATATAACACACAAAAATACTAAAAAAACTTCTTAACGTATTTTTTCGAAACGTACCACTCACAGTTTGAAATTATACATTTGTCCAAAACTTACTAAGGAATATTTATACTCCTTTAAAGTACACTTAAACTCTTTTGTTTTGTATTACATTGGAACGTTACGTTTGAAAAAAATACATCAAAGAGTTTTTTTTTTGTATGTTACACTAAAGAATTTTTTTTTTAGGATTATATTGAAGTGATTACGTTTGGAAAAAAAGTATACCAATGAATTTTTTTGTGTTACATAGAATGTTACACTAAAGAGTTTTTGTGTATTATATTAGAGTGTTTACACTGATGAGTTTTTGTGTGTCACATTAGAGTGTTACACTAAGGGATTTTTTTAGAATATTATATTAGAGTGTTACATTTGGGAAATATGCACTAAGAAGTTTTTTTGTGTGTTTCATTAAAGTGTTACACTAAGGAGTTTTTTTGAAGTATTATATTAAAGTGTTACGTGTGGAAAAAATACACTAAGAAATTTTTTTGTGTATTACATTATAGTGTTATAATAAAGAATTTTTGTGTGTGTTATGTTAAAGTGTTATACTAAAGGATTTTTTTTTAAATGTTATATTGAAATGTTACGCTTAGGAAAAATATAATAAGAAGTTTTTTTGTGTTACATTAGGGTATTACACTAGGATTTTTTTTATTTTTTATTTTTTTTAGTATTACATTAGAATGTTACGTTTGAATGTTATATTGGAGTATTACAGTTTGAAATTACACATTTGGTCAAAACTTACCAAGTAGTTTTTGTATTTTTTTTTTTAAATGTTTGAAAAATCTTACAACTTTTTGGAATGTTTGAAGAATTACATATTTCAAGTTATTTTTGTTTTGAAATGTTTTTTAAATAAATAATATTTTTATATAAAAATTCATCCAAAATTTGATTAATATATATTGTGTACCTTACTTTTATAGCACAAAATAAAAAATAAAAAATAAAAGATTAAAAATAATAGAAATAAGGACATAACCGTAAATCTAATTTTTAAATAATATACTAAATCTACCTTTTTAAAATCAATGAGACTAATTAGTCTATAAAAAAATCTTTAGAACTAAATGTCCTCACTATGGGATTTATAGGTAAATTTTTCACAAAAAAAAAAAAAAAGGATGGGACTCGTGATGGCCCCCATGGGCCGAACAAAACCGTCCATTGCAATGCCCGAAAAGTAGCTAATAATTTCTTACCATCATTTCAACTGGGAGATTGTACAGTTGTCATACACACATCTCCAATCTTCTCCTACACACTAATTTATACAATTTTTTAGTACACATTTTTTCATAAAAAGTCAAAAAGTTAACCCAGACAACCATATTTTTTTTCTCAACTTTTTACTCTAAAAAGTCAAAAACTACACTTATTTAGGACATCCCAAGCAACCCCTGAATTACACTAGCATACCCTGAAGTTTCTATTTAATACAGATCTCTCCCTGACATTTGAAAAATTGCATTCTCTTCTCTAAGGTTTGTATTCTGATTACAAATTGCCCCTTAGATGACTGACGTCATACTCTAAAATTTTCTAAATGATCATCTTGCCGTCTTTTCTACCATCATGACTACATTGTATAACTTTCTATCATTAAATTCTACTTGAACATATTCGTATTGAGTGATAATATACAAACATAAATTTTATATAAAAATTTCAAACACAGCGATATAGCTTAATAGTGACATTTCACTTTAAACAAAACACCGATAAACATGATTTATATTTATAACAATATCACTATCACAACATTTTTATGATATTTTTTGTATAAATATTTATATATGAATATAATTTTTCATTTTTATTTCCACCATTATATTTAGATTAGATCAATTTAATTTAGATATATTTAAAAGTATAAAATTTGTACAAAATCCATTGAATACAACAAAATAAGATAATGTATTGAATTTCTGTTTTTTTATTTTAAAAAAATAAAAAACTATTATATTTCTTAAGTATATCTAGATCAGGTATATCTAACAAATAAATTTGTTTAAAATATTTTTAAAAAATCCATAAAAATAAAAAATACAAAAAATGAAAAAAAAATTAATTTATTATGTGAGTTAAACCAAGAAGATTATTGTTATTTCTCTTGAAATGATATAAACAAAATATATGTATTATTTTATATTTACAAAGGTTAAGGAATAAATATATCATTTTAATCTGATAAGAAGGTAAGTGTAATTTTTCAAATGTGAAAAAATTTGTATTAGATAGAAACCTCAGGGACGTCAGTGTAATTTACCAAAAAAAATTATGATGTTGTAAAACATTTTTTCTGTTACCACTCGTCGGTAATATCTCCAAATTTAAAAGCGTCATGAGCAAAACCTAAAATGAAAAAAAGAGAACTAGGAAAAGTCTATAAACCATTCATATCTGTCCAAAAAATTCTAGGTGGATGATTATATGGGGGAGGTTAATTTGTGTAATGTGCAGTTTATGTTGAGTTTATGTGGGGTGTGATGGAAATTAATTTTTCAGTAATGATAGAGACCTCATAACTCCCAAAATAATCTGAACTATTTATATCACTATCAAATACAACTCTTAAAAAAAATTCAAACACATCAATAATTAATATATTAGTAGGAGTCGTGGAGATCCTCCTTCGTGGGAGTCCCAAATATTTCTCTTAATTTTTTAAAATATTTGAATTGATAAGGATAAACTTATAATATTACTCGAAAAACTAGGTGACGTAGTCTAGTTGATTTGATTGAATGGTCCAGTTTTACGTTAAAGTAGGGAGAATTTGTAAATTTTTAAATAAGTCATATTTTTTTAGATTTTTTTTTTGTAGTAATTTTTTTTAATTATATTAAAATATATATTTTTTTCAATCCATTTTATGTAAGCAATTCTAAGAAATAAAATAAAATAACTGAAAATTTCGAAAACAAGTTTAAAAGGGAAAAATAAGTGGAAAAAGAAGTATATTATTTTTTTACTTATTTTTGTCTTTTCAAAATTTTTTAGAAATTTGTAAAAATTTATTAATTTCCGGTTTGTCTCTTAAAATTTTATAAAATAAAAAAATCCACTAAAATGAAAATAAGCCAACAAAAAGGTCATAAAACAAATCACAAAAGTGACCATTCAAATCAATTATTTTTTAAAAAAATATACTATAACCATAAAATCAAAAATATTATTTTTATATAACTATTGTTAACATAATACTAATGTGGAATTCACAGTAATAAAAAAATTATTCAAAATACTTTTTAAAAAATAATAAAAAAAATCGAAATACTTTTTAAAAAATAATAATGGACATATATTTAAGGGTCCAGCTTCTGTCCAGTCCGGGATCGGATTGGACCGTGCTGTTAGGCCCGTGGGGGCCCACCACAGGTCTCGTTTTGAAAATCTGAACCGTTCAATGTGTAAAAATCGTCGAGTACTACATGCTTATAAAAAAATCACATTGATTGGATATCGATAGCTATGTGATCAAATCAGTTTTGTATAAAAAAAATGGACGGTGAAAAAATTAAAGGTTGATAAAAAAAACTGTTTTGTTCACATAGCTATCAATATCCGATTAATGTGATTTTTTACAGGCATATAGTACTCGACGAGTTCTACACATTGAACGGTTCAGATTATCAAAACGGGACCCGTGGTGGGCCTCCACGGGTCCAACAGCACGGTCCATGGCCTTTATTTAGACCTCGTTTGGAAATAGGCTAATTTAGTAACTTTTTAGCTATTTGGCTAAAATATGAGCCAAAAAAAACTAGTATGTTTGGGATAACTTTTTGACTTTTTAGGAAAAGATGTGCAAAAAATAGAAAGAAAAGAGAATCTTTGACTTTTTTGTATGAATTGTTAACTTTTTGACTAATTTAATAACTTTT